CTTGACCTTCAAATGTCCATGAGGGTCATAAGCACGTTCACGTTCAAGGTTTGACCCTTTCTCAACTTTGTTCTGCTCCATTTTTTACGAGATGGACACCCTTAAATATACAAAAGGGTCATAGTTCAGATGATCTGCAAACACATAGCTGCAAGTCTAAATATAATGAATATTCTTAATGATTCAATGGTAGGTCACAATATGTTGGTGATGTAGCACTCAAAATTCTATAAAAATACCTACAAATTTGTTGATATAGATCCGACACATGCAGTTGGAAGCTGTGGTTTCGTATCAAAAAGGTACTTCATTATCTGAACGCTTTTTTGTGGTTTGTGTTGATTCTCATCTGGCTTAGTTTATATTGAGTTCAGTGGTTTGCTTTTATCATGTATGATACCAATGACGCTTTGTTATGAGTGATAAAAATGTCATAAATAGCAGTTATGAAAATATTATTAATCTCCGTAGGAAAAGGTTTTGATATTAGCCTTTTTCAGTATGTTTAATGTAGGTAGGAAAAGACTCAAACTGCGTTAGATACAAAAAAATGCATGCCTTTATTTTGCATATCCAATAGCTTGCCGAGGAGAGCTACCTATACGCAACATTTATGAATGCCCGGAGGATTTTTTCCAAGTGGCGACCATTGACAAGAGGCACCTGTTTGCAAGTGTATCGGCCCCCAAAACTGAAGAATTGGGGTAGCAAGTTTTCTGGGGTGGGGCATAACAACACTAAATTACTATTACTACTATAATAAATATATTTACATGATACTTCAATTTCTGCTGTACCACAGTGAGACGGGTTGGACATAAGGAAAATTTGGACTCCTTGGTCAAATTCAAAAGGTGTTAGGTATCTGAAATGGATGTGGATATAGGAAAGGACCTTACCAAAATGATTTACCAAGTATGTGTAATCAGGATCACGTTCTTAGAGCGCAAGTATTCGATAGAGTGGAGCTTGATAGCATTACATTTAAAGACACATGCTGAAGATTAATCCGGATAAGAGTACTTGCATACTTTTTTATCCTAAACGTTTGCATAATAGAGTAAGGGGCAGAATTGCATTGAGCATCGACAACGAGCTCATTCCTATTGTGGAACAAGCAAAAAATCTTGATGTCATCTTCGACTCTAGTTGAAGATTTGACAAACATGTGTGTCATCTATAGAAGTCCACCTACATCAAACTAAGACTGCTATATGCTAATAGATTCATTTTGAACTTTAAAACGCGTAAGAAGTTTGTTGAAAGCTTGACAATGTCCAGCCTCCACTACGCTTTACCTTATACTATCCTTGTCTTGACTCGATGAATCGGTGTAGGATCCAAAGAATTCAAAACAACTGTTGTAGGTATGTGTATGTATGTCTCCTCTATGATCAAGGAGTTGAAATGGCTGAAAATGGATCAACAATTTGAATATAGTCTTAAGGTATTTGTGCAAAAGATATTGTGTACGAAAAAGCCAGTCTACCTCCATTGTAAATTGCTAACTAGAGGAATCATTAATCTTAGAGATCTGAGACATAATAATAATCTGACAATGCCTTTGCACTACACCGCATGATTTCAAAAATGTTTCACTTTCAATGCTGTGAGGGAATACCACTCAACCGATCCTGCCTAGAGAAGCAAAAGTGTAGTAACATTCAGAAAGCTAGTGAAAAATCAGCTGTTAGATCTACCATAATTAGTTGTTATTATCTTTGTTTTTCTTATGTTGTCATCCGTTCAGTATTGGTTCTTGACTGTTTATCAATTGATTGTATTTTTTCTCCTTTATTATTAGCTCACATGTTTGAAAGCCAGATCCATGTATTTATTTTTAGGTTGCATGTATGTGACTTTGAATTGTATATACATATTTAAGCACTCAATAGGGTTGGGTGCAAGAATAGCCAACTGGCTAATCTTCGCCCTATTGTTGTGTTGCTAATAAAGACATTTATTATTATTATTATAGATTATGTATAGATCTACGCATTGTCGGGTTTTCAAGTTTTCCACTGTACAAAAGAATTGTCGACGTAGCAGATCTAACGTTCCTGTACTAAGAGACGGTCTCACGATGAAGGAAAATGTTATGTTTAAAAATACCCAGTGTAATATGCATGAGGCTTATTTACATTTCATGTTCGAGTTGTAGCTGGAATTTATGTAAGATAATTTTCCCAAGTGTTTGGGGCCGGTCCAATTATTACCGCTCTCTGTGTAATTTTCTTGATTTCGAAAAACTTTACCTTAGGGTATACAATTTAAAATACAGCCAAGTGGATGGATTTAAGGGTAATAACGTCATGCTGCCTTAGATGTTTTTTAATGTATTAAAGCGAGATGTAAAGGGTGCGCAGGACTTGACTGATAATCCTGCAGCTGCAAATCGATCACGTCATATATGAGAAAATTTGCTTTATTGAAAGTCTGAGCTCTAGAGATTTTCAGCATTTGATATTGTTGAACAATATTGCATTCCACTCACCAATTTTTTTTCTCAATGTCGCGCGAAATCCACATACGAATTATTATTATATTAATCCCCAATTTCGAAGAAGGCCCGACCTCGCGTCTGATCTGTCAACCTTTTATGTAAAAGAATCAGGTTTATCGTGCTCAACGGGAAGTGCACCACATCGCCCACACAAATAGACTCTCCATCTAGCGGCCACGTATTGGCTGGACCTTCAATTCGTGGACTAACATCTCTACAGTCCCACCGGTAAAGCGCGATTCAGTTTTTCCTCAGATGTCGATTCTAGTGGTAGATGGCGCTTCGCTATGCCTCATTTCGATAGATCACACACTTTGGATAGTGTATAGTTGCTATGCTTTCTCCGTTTTCCGAGAGACCCAAGCCTAGACCATGCTGATGAGTAGCCAAAAAGTACCAAACAGCTGTCCATGGTTCCCTGTCTTTGGTAGGACAGACGAAAGCAGGGCATGTTTATTTTATTTTTAAATGTACTCTAGTAATATGCTTTCTAGTTCACTTCCGTGAACTAGTTCAATAGGTCGCGCTCACTAAAACGCACTAGTTATAGAAACTAGTTCGTCATCGAACTATCTTACACAAGAATAAACTTAGTGAAAGTATCGCCTCTCGTATTGTTAATTTTTTTAGTTTTCCTTTTTTTATCAAGATGGAGTCGTATTAAATTTAAATTCTCGATTTAAATTGTCTTTCACATAGTTGCTATGAAATTTAAAAGTTTTCTTGTGTACTTACCAACTATTGAAGTGTTTGCTATATTCATTTGCGGAAAATGAAGTTACTTTTTCAAGAACTCACGTTCCTTCCTAACAGACTTGACTCACATTCCCCCATCAACACAATTAAAAAAAAATGCGACTACTCATAGCAAATATATTTAAAAATAAGTCAATAAATGAGAATCTACCAGAATACAAAATCAGTTCCTTTCGTGTTGTCTTCAATCCACCGTTCCACTTTCTCAATCAATTCTGGTGGCATTTCGGTTTTGTGACTTCCCGTCTTACCCTGTCTCATATGATTCGTCTCCGACTTCTCCAAACCCCTGTCTTTCCTGCACTTTTCTATCAGATTTTCATTATTTACCGCAGGATTTTTCCTCATGGTATCAAAGCTCAAGTGTTTGACGAGTTTAGCTACTTTCTCGTCCGACATTGGCCTTTCTACAAAGTTTGCTACTTTCCGGATCATCCCAGGTAAGTCCTTGCTCATCTCTTCATATCTGAGAAACATCACGTTGGGTTTGGATCGTTGCTTCCAGAAACCGAAGACGTGGCCCCAATATGGTGTATAAACGTCTGTGGATAACACAAAGTTCAAAAATAATTAATAAAATGAAAAAATGCAGTTTTAAATAGAAGCTTTTGTTTAGCTGTTAATGGAACCAAAAAAAATAATTAAGACTATAATAAAGCTCCTCTGTCTTAAGCTTCTTCGTCTCAAGCTTTCAAATCTGTGGCAAATAGTTAAAAAGGGTACATTTTTTGAACTTATATAAAACCAGCTTGACGCTTTTTTACCAAGGAGACTAGACGAATTAGATCCTAGTCTCAATCTTGATTGTCATTTGAATGGCCTTTTATTCAAATAACTACTCTTACAATTTTACTGAATTGTCCTTAAAGCAAACCTATCAACGAATATGTGAAAATGTCATAACTCGAACAAATTAACTCATGCTTTTTTATCTATTTACCACAGAAATAAAATCGTGCCTCATTTTTGTAAAAAAAAATTGAAATAAAACATATTTCGGAATTTATATAGTACGAGTCTTTTAAGCTTTGCATATAGAAACATAGTAGGCCGGGCGGATCGAACGTCAGTACTGAATCTTAACCTCACTCTTTACTAAACTTAAATTCAAAGTTTCACAGCAATAGGTGCAGTGTTCTCACTACAGTGAATTTTTAAGTGTCACCAAGTCATTAGAAAAATGGAACTCAACCGAGAACATTTTCGTGCCATAATTTATTACAACTTTCAGAGACAATTATCGCAACAAGAATGCCTTGCTGAGTTACTGTCTGTTGAGTGGGTGTACCAAAAACGGCAGTCACCCAGGAAAACGTCAATGCTGTGCGCAAACTCATCATTGAAGATAGACATGTGACATATCGCGAGATTCAGGCGTCCTTGAAGATCTCAAAGATCTCAATTCAAAAAAAATGTTCAATTCCGGAAACTCAAAAAATGTGTACAGCATTGTTAGTGGTGATGCATCGTGGATTTACTGTTATGAACCAGAAAATAAACGACAGTCGGCTGTTTGGGTGTTCCAAGGTGAAGAAAAGCCAACAAAAGTCATCCGTTCTCGAAGAGCAAAGAACTGTTACTGCGGATTAGTATACCACTATTTGTTTGCCAAAAATCATCACCGAGCTTCGAAAGATCAACCCCGAAAGAAGAATCATCCTCCACCAAGACAATGCAAGCTCGCACACAGCCCAAAAAACAAGGCAGTATTTAACGGAAGAAAACGTGAACTTATTGGACCATTCTCCATATAGTCTAACGATTTCTTTACTTTCCCGAAAATTGAAAACAGACTACGTGGTCAAAGGTTCCAGTCACCAGAAGAAGCAGTTGTCGCATTCAAAAATGCCGTTTTGGATATGCCAGCAATCGAGTGGAATAAGTGCTTCGAAAATTTGTTCGAGCGCATGCAGATGTGTATTAACCTTCGTGGAAAATACTTTGAAAATCAATAAAGTCATTTAAAACAACCTACCGTGTTGTTTTATTTCCATATGCGAAACTTAAAAGACATCCCTCGTATGTAGTTATGTCTACTGACTGAAATGGAAGCTTGTTTTTTAAAATGATTTGACCTCTCATCCTTTTGGCACTACATGTTAAAGATATTGCAAACTCACTGCTTACGGATTGACACATATTCACAACGTGGTTCGCAAAGTCCTGTGTCAACTTCTCAACCAATATGTAATTTTAAGCTGGTATTTTACTTACATTCATTTTTAAGGTATCCTTCAAAGAATTTTTCTAAGGGTTCGTTGTATCCATATAGCATCTTATTCCAATGATACATAGAAACTATCTGATCTTTGGCATTTCTCATAACATATATTATCTAAAAAAAAATTACATCAAGTAGGTTGACTTCCTACATCCTGTTTAGAGTTTTTAAAGAAAGAGAATGAGTCAAGTCGTTTCAAACCGCGAAGTCTAATCGTTTGGTGCGATTAATCTTCGAGGTATAAAGCAAATCTATCATATTTCTGTTTCAATGAGAGATGTAGGGAAAACCTACAATTTTGATCCCCACCCAAACAATTTCTAAAAATGAATAGGAATCTCAGAAACGTATGCGTTATAATTACTGAGTCAATCTACTTGACGAAATATTCAGAACCTGATATCAGAACCATCATAGACAGAGTACCACAAATTTAAGGTTAGGCGAAATGGGTGGTACATTTAGGGTTCATAAAATTCAGAAAAATATATGTGTAGATATGAGCATCGCAGAACGCTAAAGTGGTGACGGCGCCACCGCAGGCCAGTTCAAGTTTAATACCTCTTCCACAGTCGGCAGTGGCCTCCGCGACGTTCACACAACGGCAACGATGGCAAAGTAATTTGCATTATATATGTACATCAATTTTTTATCACTTAATTTTCCCGCTGTTACCGGGATCAGAAGCTGCTTAATGATAGAACGTTTTTGACTATTACTTAAGACGTTAAATTCATAACCTCCCACAATCAGCCCACAACCCTTAAGTTTTAAACTCGACCAAAAATATCCGAAATCGATCAACAACCTGTGAATCATCAAAAAACTATTATGCGAATATTAGTAGGATGAACACTCTACAAGGTAGTCAATCTGTACCTTTGGTTTTTTCAAACCTTCTTGTATATCCCTCGGTAGAAGCTGCCAGGGTAAATGTGTCTTCAGGCATACTGGACCTTTTTCGTATTCCTTTTTGATGAAGCCCAAGGTATCGCGAGCATGGTGTGGTGAATTTTCATCGTGTGGCGCAGCCCATGATAACCTAGAATCATGATTGCAATGTGCAAAGTGCCGCAGCATAACTTCCTTTCTGAAAATCCTCGCCATTAAGTATCGTTTGAGAGGGGGGACTATGAGGTTTTTTACCGACACAGCTCAGTCGCCATCATGCGTTGGAACGAGGATTAGCGTGATTTTGCAATTTAGCCCAGTTGGCCCTGTCGTTCAGGCAAACTGCAAGTGGGACAAGAGAAGAACTGGAGCCTCCGACTCATCAGATCACCTGGAAACGTTTGGGCCGATGTTGCGATCACCAAACGTGCGTCTGTCGTTTCCGATAGCTCTGCCGCGAGAATTCTTCATGATGGGATGATGGACCAGGAACTTTTTGAACGAGACTTCAGTTCTTGGATGAACGCGTATGAACGTCGATAAAAAATAAATTCAGCTATGGTTTAGATGAAGTTCCAACAACAATAGTGAAGCTTTCCATTCCAGTTTTAAAACATGATTTGTGCTTACTTATTAATAATGCTTTTAGACAAGGATCATTCCCAGAGAATTTGAAAATCGCTGTTATAAAACCAATTATTAGAAAAGGTTATCCAGAGCAAGTTGGCGGTTGGTTTCTACCGGGAATCTTGATGACCTGGTGCTGGAAATTCTTTTGCAGGGCCTATAATGATTGGTACTATTTGTGCTTTCAAACCCCACAATCTTTGTATTTCGATTTTCAGGTCCTGGTATTTTAACATCTTTTCAGATTCTTCTTCTTTTACAGATGCATCCGATGGTATAGCCACATCAATTATGTCACACTGCTTTCTGGAGAAGTCTTTTAACACAATATCTGGCTTGTTGGCCGATATTGTCCAGTCGGTTTGAATTTGTTGGTCCCAAATGATTACAACATCATTACGTTTTTCAACAGCTTTAGGAATGTGATCATACCAGTTCTGTGATACTTCGATTCCGAAGTGTTTGCATATGTTGTAGTGCAAATATGCACATACTTTGTTGTGTCGGTCTATATATTCCTTTTTGGGTAATACCGGGCAACCGGTCATTACGTGATGAACAGTCTTATCGTATTGCTTACACAACAGACATTTTGCAGCTACATTTTCTCCATGTATCCGCTGTTTTACGTAATTTGTGGTGATTGCCTGATCTCGGGCAGCTACTATTAAGGATTCTGTTTCCCCTTTCAATAAACAATTTTCCAACCACCTATATGTACCATTCCTATCGATTAGTTCTTCAATAGATTTCATGTCAAGCTGACCATGCATTATCTTTTCCAAACACCTATTTTCTCTCTGTTCTTCCATGTTTTTATTATCTCTTATTATTATTATGCCCATCTTCATTAGTGTGGATCATCATCAAACAAAACATGCGCCACTGAGCTGACAACAATCCTCGAGAATTGCATCACTGGACCGGTATGTAAACAGGATTTCTTTTCCACGGGTAGATGAGTTCGAGTTACGGGACATTTGGTTCTAGCAAGAAGGCTCAAGAACATCGATGGCTTGTGTCAAGGAACATTTCCCAGAGCACCTCATCTCAATTAGTGGCGAGTGGCAAGGTGTGAGGATCAACCTCCAAGAAGAAGTTGTCAAACGTAACGCCTGCTATGCTGACAGGAGTCACCTATCTAATCTGATCGTCAATACTATGTAAAACAAAACTTTACATTAAAAAAGGATGTAAAAATGTTCTGAATCATTCAATGGGTTTTATAAAGTTTTGAAAAAAGGAAGTTATGCTACCAAGGAACGTTCTTTGAATAAAGCTCACTTACTCAGCAAATGGTACTCTGATATGAATATCCTCCTTGGCTCCTTCGAAATCAAGGTTGTGCATTATCATCCATACCATTTCTTGAGTCCATGTTGTCCCTAAAAATTGACTATACTTTTTTACAATGTTTCAGAAACAAGGTTGTATTGACGAAGTTATATAAGGGTGTTGCAAGTATAAGATAAATTATTGATATAGAACACATTAATGATCTAGTTATCTGCATTTGCCAGGTTCGAGTCCTATTTTTGATTCATAAGCTTTGGGCTTGTGGACCATGCAGCTAGCAGCTTCAACTCCTTTTACGTAGAATGAATTACATCACTAGCAGGTATTTATGCGTGACGTCATTAGCTGGGAATCGCAATCGTTTATCGGAAAAAGGGTAAATATACTAAGTGACATATAAATCCGAACACCCAGTTTAAATGGTTTTATTTTAATAAAATTTTGTATAAGTACTTAATGAAGCATAATAAGTAAATGATAAAAATTTCAAAATGATTGCACTGCTTTAAAGCCCTTTGACCTTTAATAATGTTTGGATGCACACTGATGTGCTACGCATCCTCCAACGCGCCTAGGCATGCTTCTGATCAGGTGGTCAATGTCCTCCTGTGGTATCTTATTCCAGGCAACCACCAACTCCTCTCAAAGTGCTTCTAGAGTCTGAGGAGGACGTTGCAAATTGAGCAATCTCCTACCCATCATATCCCACACGTGCTCAATTGGGGATAAGTCGGGAGATCTTGATGGCCATGGTAACAATGTGACATCATCATGTTGAAAGAAGTCTATTGTGACTCTTGCAACATGTGGTCGGGCATTATCTTGTTGGAAAGTTGGATCTGCCAGGGTGTCAAGGCAGGGTAAAAGATAGGGTTCTAGAACTTCGTGGATATAACGCTGCGCGTTCATGTACCTCTGATGAAGATTAAAGGTGACCTGGAACCATAAGCTATAGCACCCCAAACGATAACTCCCACAGTGTGATGAACATGTCTTTCAACAAAAAACTGTGGATTCCTCCTTTCACCACGCCGCCTTCTAACCCTGGCACGACCATCGTGCATGCCTAAGCAAAATCGAGACTCGTCACTAAAGACAATACTGTTCCATTCCTGATCCCAGAGTGACCGTTGTCTGCACCACTCAAGGCGATTACGTCGGTGTTCTCGAGTTAAAGGGAGGACCCAGTGTGGCCGGTATGAAAACAAGCCAAAACTTCTCATTCGTCGGTAAACACTTCGGATGCCAATAGGTCTTCCGTGTTCTGCAAACCATTCATTTGCAATGGACCTGGTAGTGGAGAAACGGTCCCTTAAGGCCAATAATCTTAGGCGGTGATCTTCACGGTCTGTTGTTCTACTGCGGCGTCCAGTACCCCTTGCTCTTTGCGTACGGCCTTCTCGAAGCCATGCCTGACAACACCTAACCACAGTGTCTACACTTCTTTGCACTCTATCTGCAATTGCCCGAAAAGAAAGTCCAGCTTCCGGAAGTCCCACTATACGGCCCCTATCAAACTCGCTAAGTTGACGAAATCGTACAGGTCTCCGTACTCTAGGCATCGTAACCGATCGTAAAGGATGTCAAGAACCAAAATCCGCCAACGTTGATTCTTTACTGCGGCTGAAATATTCATTTTAGAGCGTTAGTGAATTAAAAAAAAAGCAGTATAAAAACCGGAATGTCCAACTGATAAGGCTGAAAATTTTTTCATTTGTTATTTACAGTAAGATAAATACATTCACCAACTTTTATTAAAATAAAACCATTTAAACTGGGTGTTCGGATTTATATGTCACTTAGTATAATCAAGATATACTTTTTGGTGACAAAAAATTATATCCACATAATTTCTGAATATACCTTTTCACATCATTTGACGCGAATGATACTGTTGTATATGAAATTGCAGGTTCAACTAAGCAAAAAAGCACATATACGAATACCTGATTTTGGAAATCCACATATCCAGACATCGCCATCCCTTACGGGAAACTCATAAAATTTATTTAATTCATACGATTTTGGTAGTGTTGTTCCTTTCACAACTACAGTTTCACGTTCCATATTGACACCTTAGTTGCATATGCTTAATATCGCTCAAGTTTTGAGCTATAAATGTATTTAAATAATTGTACAGCAAACATACGTTGCGATATTTATTATTCAGAGAAAAATGAAAACAATAGCTTACTGACACAATTAAAGAGTTGTTCAGTGGATTAAGCAGATGTGGAAAATATTTGAATTGACGTAACACTAGTTAAAAGTAGGTACCATATAATGTCTCGAGTCCGAATATGTGGATGTTACTCGCGGTCACAGAAAGACTGGAATCCGTTGTTGCCCTTTTCAAACTTATTCGCCTATGAGAATCATTTATTATTCAGCGCTCCTCGAATGCCTTGACGATTTTAAGGGGCGGAGAGTGATATCAACAATTGAAGAGTGGAGGGGGTCATCTGCTACATCAGTGCTTTTGAGAACAAATGCTCCTATGAAAATTAAAAGCGAATGACCTTGTGATAATTCGAGAGCGGGGGACGCGGGACAAACTCCGCCTCTCAAACTCCTTCAGGGTCTTGATTGCTCCCGTAGGTCTCCAGCGTCTACAAGAAGGCGTTATCGCCGTACTCTGAGGAACACTGACTCAAATAGAAACGTCCTGATCAAAGTTGATAAAGATCGCATTCTCAACAAATCATTGACAACCCGACCAAAGTACTTCTTCCTTGTGTTCTCAGTCACAGCAGTAATAAGCCTTTAGTGAGGGCTACAGTGGACGCAGGATGTGTTAGTGCAGAGATCAAGTTAATAGTGTGCACATCAGATTCAAGACATATGCTTGTACACGATTTTTGCAAAGAGCAGTTATATCACTTGATGAAAAAAACTGCGATCTACGGCTTGGCAATTTATTTGCTCTTAAGCGAATCGAAGTTTTGCCAAGGATTAGCGTGTTTCGTTCTGTAATTACCGAGGCGGTGTTGCCAAACTGACATAAAATGTTTAGCAAACGATACATTTATACTGAGCTGTCTGGGATTCAGTTCTTTTCATGGTTCTTGGTGGTTATATCATAAATCCATACAAAATAAGTAAGCATATCGTCTTAAGGCGAGGTTGTCTAAATAAGTGGCAACTCTCTCTATCACACCGACGATTGGTCAAATAAGAAAATTTGCGCTTATAAAAAGCAATAATCTCAAGCTGACATTCCTCTGCTGCTATCTTGACTCAGTGACCTTTCACCTGTCACTGGAAAACTTTACGTTCTTCTAATTAAAATTCAACTTCAATGTAGAGATCTACCGAAGGTCTATATTTCTTTCAGCAACAATTTTGCTAACCTTACATAAGTTCTCCTAGCCTTACATATGTGGATGTCATTTAACCTTTAGAAGGAGCTTAATCTCAAATTTAAATACGTACTTGGACGTAAAAGATGTAATATACCCACCTGATTTTGGACTTCCACAGATCCACACATCTTCGTCTCTCACTGGAAAATTGCTGAACTCATCCAGGTGTTTCACGTACTCACAATGCAACGTAGTACCTTTAACGACTGGATGATCCATCGACACGAATCTTTTCGTCACGGTAACACATAACTACGCTCGTGTTTTGTACTATTTTAAGGATATCTATACAAATATTTGTTGTTTATGTATTGTCTATTTAATCGTGTTTCCATTGTAAGAAGTAACAATAGTAAAACGTTTCAACTGGGTCGTGGTCTAGATATTTTCTAACAAACTGGAAAGTTGTGATGAAGTTTGTCATCCATGTTATCAGAAACCTTATGCAGTATAGAATTAGTACTCGTATAGAACAAATATTTTTTCAAATGGAAATCAGACTAATTTTTCTGTGGTTTATGTTACACCTTATGAAAAGTTTCTTTGAATAAACAGTCTGAAAAGAAGTTATCTAATGCTATAACCGTCTTTTCTAAGCCTCACTGTAAGCCTCCCGCGTTTTTTGCGCCCATGCAGAAAAGAATCCATAACTAGCTTCCGCTAGGCTTAGACGAAGTCATAAGATAAAAGTTGACAATGGAGAGGAGAAAATAAAAACAGAAACAGAACACGTCAAAATTTTACAAAGTTTGTTATGCAAAATCATTGAAAGAAACTTACGGACCACATAGGTACATGTAAAAGGCCAGTTATTAAAGTTGTAACTCATCTCTGCAGCTTCCATGCCCTTGAGGAAAATTCCATACAGCGGTTTGAAAAATACTACAGGCTATATGTTCTTAACAAGCAAAAAGGTACTAATACGATGTTATTGTGTCAGTTGCATGTACTGTGATCGCAAATTCCATCTATTATTTGGCGCTATGACCTTATATCTCTCTATTTATACATTTTTTTCTTTATCTATTTACTTGCCCATTAATTCAGTTTAAGTGTAGAATGTTCTTAACATATATACCGGTTTTAATGTGTTCACTATGTTATTTAACTACATTTGGCTGATGTCTATTATTAATCTATTCTTTCCCAATTTATCTATTTATATTAATGTTTAGGGAAGGATTGAAAAATGTTTATACAATACTCTCTCCTTTTGAGTTGTTTCTCAATAAACTTTTTTATTATTACATATTATTATTTGAGATCGATGAAAGTCATAGGATGTGGATCTGGTCTTGGCATACAGGTACATATCCGTAACTAAAGTAAGGTTGATTGTTAAAGTATCCTAGGTTCGTAGCTCTTAATTGATGTCCAAGTAAAGATCCAACAAGGGAGACCCCAAAAAGTGTAAATTTAGTCCAAGGTGGTTGGTCTTGAGCTTGCCCTATGATTACCCGCGCAAAGAGTCAGGAGGATAATGGAGAAGTGGATTTCTTAACAATACTTTCTGACATGGAAAAACATCTGTAGACGTCTCCGCTATTCCCAGGAGCTCATCTTAGGGACCAGTGTTAAGGATGGACTCTTTTCCTAATCGTTGGAGTCTTCGGCGCATGTTGTGAGTCGCTGCGAGGCTTCTAGCTACTTCAGGCAGACTATTCTGGGGTCTAACACGTTGGACCCGCAGAATGTTAAGGAGCTGGGACTCAAGGCTATATTCAACTTCGCTAGAAGGGCGAAGCTTGAGGCTTACGGTATGTAGCGGTGCATAAGGGCTCCTCGTGGGGGCCCGTATGCCTCTAAATTCATTTTTTACAAGGTGGCCCAAAGCTTAGGGTCATCCAAAAAATGAGATTTAAAAGAGGAGGTCGAAAAATAAACGTGGCCCTAATAGTTGTTGCCTTATTAGACCCACACGCCTAACCACGGTGCTCTTAAAATTAAGCACGGTGATAAAAATGACAATTGTTTGACAATTTGAATCAATTACATTATCATTAAGATCAACTTACATCGTTTCTTTCGAGACAATAAATCCAAGAAATGGAAATAAACAGTAATTATTTAAAAACATCAACAACGGACAAGTCACAACTTGGAATATTGATCAATAGAAATACTTAATTAAAGAGTTTGCACAAGCTTTGTAGGTTGCCTGCTCATATTAAAAAGTTATTCAAAATGAAACATTGAATATATCGCATGGCACTAACTACGACGTTTTCTCTGACTGCCACAAATACAGATGTTTTTCACGTGTGGGTGTATAGGTAAGCAAAAGATTCTATTTCACGGACCGGCCAACCAGCTTGATAGATTTTGTCATATGAATTGTCATTGGATTCGTCCTAGTACTGCAATTGTTACTGAGTATTTTATGAAAAATAATTTAATAATAAAATCAGCTTTGAAGTTCTCAATTTACGGACTTAAAAGGCTTGATGGATTTTCACATATGACATGTTGTTGGATTAGTCTCAGCAATGGGAGCTATATTCGAATTTCATTAAAACAAAATGGCGGATTTTTACAGAAGTGATCAACCTTGTAATTCTTCTTTCACGGGTTCAGCGTATTTTGATGTATGAAGTGTCTCTTGATTTCTTGATTTGTAGTAACAGTGCAAGCGACACTGCGAATATTATTATATTGAAAAAAGTCTTCTTTGAGATTCCTATTTTACTTGCTGTGCCTTAAGCGGCTTGATGGATTTCAGCATATGAAATGTCTCTAAGTTTACCTTAGAAGCTCAACTGAATCTCAGTTCTTTACAAGTGGCGGTGAGCTGGAAAAAGGAAGACTAGCAGCGGCTTCCTTTCAGACGAGAGACCTGTAAGTTATCACTGCTTAGTGCTTCCAAAACATAGGTACAGATCTTGACGAACAAAAAACGTTTTTGTTTAGAGGAGGATTAATCGATTACTTTAACAGACAGTCTCGGAACCCGTTGGCACCGGCGGATCGCCGACCATCTAGCTCTCCTCTACCCCAATAGGCTTGGCTCTTCAGAGCTCTCCTTCATTATGCTGATCCTAACCGTGTCGAACCTCGTACATCCAGAACTGGCCGATGCGACCGCTCCTTTGTCCCTAGGGTGGAAAGATTTGTGAAATAATCTACAAGGAGGCTCTTTCCATCTACTAACTTAGGCAGTTAAAAAATCGGATAAAAAAAAGTAGTCGGATTGTTTGTATTTTTCATTTTTCTACGATCACATTCTGTATACACCTTCTCTTCATGGCTCCTATATCCTACACTGAAGAAAGAGGCATGAACTCAAAAAACTTTTATCGACGAGAATATTCAAATCACATTATTTTTACAAGAAATATATTAATTATTCTACTACAAAGTCAGTATTTTTCGTATTAACATTAATCCATTCATCAAACTTCTCAATCATCTCTGGGGACATCTCTGCCTTATGACTTTTTGCTTGGCCGCGTCTCATATGACCAGTTTGTGCTTCGCCTAGACCTTTTATTTGCCGTCTTTCTTTAATTAACTTCTCGTTGTTGACCGCAGAATTGGTCTTCATGCTATCGAAGCTCAAATGTTTCACTAGCTGGTCTACTTGGTCGTCAGTCAGTGGCTTCTCCAAGAAGCTTGCTACTTTTCTTATCATTCCAGGCAGGTCCTTGAGCATCTCTTCGTACCTCAGGATCATGACGTTGGGTTTGTGTCGTTGCTCCCAAAATTCTAATACGTGGCTCCAGTATGGCAAATAGACAGCTGTGTACAAACGTGTGTAAATTGAATAATTCCTTATCACTTTACCACAAGCAGTATGTGTTGGGCTTTGTGTTCTTCCAGACAAGTATTTTTGAATGAGGTTTTTCAGGTTTTTACTAAGTTTGGACAATGCCTTTCCATTTGACATGGAGCCTCCAAGGTTATTTCAAGGTCTTATTATCTTTTTTCCAGATCATCAATCGCAAATGATGAAGATTCTACGTCTGGACTTGCATCTTAGATCAAGGTCACCAATAGAGGTCAAATTGTGGTCAAATGTGTGAGGATAGGGTAAATTCCCTAAGGTTATTGATGAAAAGAGTCATTACAAGGACAGATCTCCAGTAACTTTTAATCAGTATGTCAATGCTAATCTTGGATTTATTCCTCAAGCCTCACCTTCAAGGTCATTTCATCTGAGAATATCCCGTTTTGACACCGGTAATGAAAGATCTCACGTTCTACTATGTTGAAGGCGAGCAAGGTAAATTCCAAGGTCAATGTTGAAATCCTAACTCAAGGTTATCAAACTGAAGGACTCCACTGTAGGTCAAATAGAGGTGAAATGTGTGAGGTTAGGGTGCATTCCTCAAAGTTGAAGATAACAAAAAATAAGGACAAATCTCAAGTGACTCTCACCTAATATGTCAATGATAATCCTGGATTTAACCCTAAACCTCACCTTCAAGGTCATTCATGGTGGACTTTTTTTTCAACTGGGAATATCCCGTTTTGACACCAGCAGTGAACGATTTGACGCTCTACTATGTTAAAGGCGAGGCGCAAGATCCATTCCGAGGACAATCTTGAAATCATAGTTTAATGTTATTAAAGGTTATCACCAGAGATCAAATATAGGTGAAATGTGTGAGGTTAGCGTGAATTCCTCATAGTTATTGATGAAAAAAGAAAAATTATAAGGGCAGATCTTCAGTAACTTTCAACTAAGATTTCAATGGACTCATCCTTAAATCTCACCTTCAAGGTCATTTCGGGGTCAACGTTTTTTCAACTGAAAATCTCCCATCTTGACACCGGGAATGAAAGGTCTCACGTTCTATGTTGTTATGTTACCGTTATCTTGAAGGCGAGACGCAAGGTCAATTCCAAGGTCAATATTGAACTCCTAATTTAGGGTTCAACGTGACCACTAGAGATCAAATAGTGGTCAAAAGTGTGAGGCTGGGGTGAATTCCTCCAAAGTTATTGATGGAAAAAGATCATTATAAGGGCTGACCTTCAGTAACTAGGATGTCTATGCTCATTTCAGGGTCAACCTTTTTTTCTACTGAGAATATCCCGTTTTGATACAGGCAATGAAAGATCTCACGTTTGACTATGTTATCATATACTACCGTAATCTACTAGCCGAGCCTCTTGCTACTCTCCTAGGAATTTTAGAGGTGTCCTTGATCTTACATATCATTATACACGTCCGGACGTAGAATTTCCAGTTCATTTGATTGCTTGTGTTAAAGAGGGGGGTTTCTATTCAAAGAACAAAGTTTCTTCTTGAGATGAACTGTGAGGCTCAAAGTCAAGTCCATGGTCAGAATTATCGTACCTGTACCTCTGGTGACACTCGCTGGGTTATTACGTGTATACTAGGTAGTTCCCATTGCTATGAGCGCCACCTATGGAGGAGTGGCACAACGATTGTCATTCGGCTATAGTAAAGAACACAAAGTTCAAGTTAATCAGTGCTAAACGATATACGAGGTGTGGAAATTAAGTGATTAGGCTGATTTTTTTCAAATATCGATACAATTTTATATTCCAGCTGTTCTTGATCTGACGAACGGTGGTGTACGTCAAATTTAACTCTTTTCCGATCATTCTTTTTTAAATTATGTATTTTGTGTGCCGCGAGCTTTACGATATCTTACCATTGCCTGCTATAAAATTTTCAAGAAAGTCGTCTACTGGTTCATTGCATTCTCCTAGTGCTTTCATGAAATGATATAAAGAAAGTGCTGCGTCCTTGGGGTTTCTTACAACGTAGATGATCTACAACAAATATCGTTGATTAATTTCACTCTATGCTAGCCACATCTTCGAAACAACTTTTGGTGCAATTTTTCATGTATATAGTTGTAGTGCATTATTTTCGCTTTTTATGGAAAAAACTCTTCAGATAGCTGCAATCAGTGCCCATATTGAGGGCAAATGTACAGAGAAATATAACATAATTATATACATAATGACTATAGTTAACGCATGCTGTCGCAACAATGTCAACGTTTTATCTTTGTTTTTGTTTACCTTTGTTGGAGCGCTTATTTTTTGTGAAGAAAGCAGTTTCTGAGAGCTGAGTAGCAATGAGAAGTTGTGATAATCTTTTTTTTATTTTCTAAAGAATGTACACAACTACAATAATGGTAATTTCATCAGTGATTTGAAATAAAATAATATACAGTTGCAAAGTCAAATCATTTTCAAAATACAATCGTCAACCCCTCTGCTTTTAACACGCATACCACTGAATATCTTGGGGCCCTGATAAATAGTCATTTGCGAAATTAACAAGTTCAACGGGAACAGATAAAATCATAAAAAAAATAATTAAAGAAAAACATCGTATGCATTATAATTGAGAATATTTTGAACGCAATAACATAATGATATGGGATATCAACATAGTAAAAGCTGAGGTCGATCACTATTGAGTATGAAGGATGTAACCCCTATCATAAGAAATGATGATTCTAAACCATACCTTTGTCTTTTTTAAACCCTCCTGGATATCCTTCGGCAAAAATACCCAAGGCATGTGAGTTTTCAGACACACAGGTCCAGATTGGTACTTCTTCTTGATATAGCCTATATTATCACGCAGCGGTTCCAGATAAAAAGATTCCGCGTTGTCCTTATACCAAGAGAGCCTTTAGATAAATATGTAAAATCAGGATTTTTGACTTCGAAAAAGAAAAACAATAAAGTTAGCAATAAAAATAATACATGATAGAGCACCTAAACGGCGAGCAGCATATGGCTATGACTATAGCAACTACATACATGTTGTCCCATTTCAATCTCACTACCTGAATGCTTCGATAGCTATGCATCCAAGAAAAGAAAATTAAGGCATAAGTTGTAAGGCTTATAGTGAACGAAATGATGGTGATCTTGACAGGGTTCCATGGGCAAAGTGATGATGACCTTGACAATGACCCTGACTACGTCGTTAAATGTCATTTCAAGGTCATATGGATGTTTTCAAATGGATTTCTCCTTTTTTACATAGCAATTGAAAGCAGGAACAAATTTTACCTCCTAGAATCGCCTTGGCGATGACTTTGATCATTTCCGTCAGGGCGACTCCAAGGTCAAATGAAGATGTCAGAAACAATCTTCTCTAGCAAAAATGTCTAACACCACAGTCGTGAGGTTGGTGGATCTCCCAAAAGTGACCTTAGTCATGACCTTCAAGGTCTATTGAAAATGTTCAAGGGAGTCCTCTGATTTTTATGTCGGAAATGGGAAAAGCAGGACATTTTTCATCAATGTGTCAAGGTCGTGTTAAGCTAAAATGCTATTTTTGTTCAAGGTTATTTCGGATCTAAAATTTCATAATTTTTCCATTTACAGTATAAAAATGAGAGATTCTCATTTTAAATTTTGAAGGGATTTTGACTATGCTTTCGGACATTTCTGCTAGAGAAACTTGTTTTTGATGTTTTGATTTGACTTTGGAATATGCCACATTCAAGGTCATTGAATAGTTGACTTTTGGACGTAAAATGCTCCTCGTTTCAACTGTGATGTAAGAAGGGGGCTACATTCGAAAATATTCACTTGATCTTGACATGACCTTTAGGTCATACTCAAGGTCATTGTCAAGAAGACCATCACTTTGCCCCCTAGGATTACGATAGTTCGGCAATCTGACAGTAATGTATAAAAACAGGCCGGTAATGTCAAACATGTCTAGCAAAAAACGTTATTTCAGTTCTATAGGTCTGTTAAATATGTCTGTGTCTTACTCAAGGAATGGAACTCGGTAATGGATATCCTCCTTCCCTCCTTCAAAGTCGAGGTTATTCATTATCATCCAAATCAATTCTTGAGTCCATGTCGTACCTGAAATATCATGATAGAACATTTTGTGTAATCTCGAAATTAAAAAGTGGTCTAAACACAGAGGTCATTGGCTGAACGGGTTGGTCTTCCATTTATTATGATACTATAGGTGTATATAATATAATGGGTGACTTTCAAAAATTTCGTACAGTAGGATTAAGTTTGGATGACATGATACTTTGCTGGATTACCAGTCACTTCCTATAAAAATCAATCAGGTGTTCCAAATTCGACACTCAATTCTCAGTGCTTCTGGGAATAGATGAAAAATATTGAATTCTCCTAAAACCGTTTTTATTTTTCCCAGGCATTATTTGAGATGGGATTTCATGTGAATATTATTTTTTTTTTTTGTAACTCAGATTTGAAAAAGTTAATCTATGACATATAATACCTTGTTGGAATCAAAATTAAAAACTCCATTCATCGGTGTGAAAATTCAATATGGCGTCTATGGAAAATTCGGTTTCTCGCAGTTGCTCAAAAAATAATACCAAACAATATCTGGCTTCAAATCAAACCAATATAAGCGAGCGTTCTACTTTCCTCTTTTGTAAAGAAGGAGATCTTGACGCTAGGAATTTTCTGCTGAACTGTTCCATATGATCGCTGAAGGTTAAGCCAGAATCGATCTTAACACCTAAAAATCTGATTGCCTGCGGCTCAGCATATTTCAAGGAAAATTTAACAATAGTTGTCTCGTGTTAGACAGTTGATATTGAACCAGAGTCTAGCACTATTAATTTCATTTTCAATGTTAATTCTCGATTGGCGGTATCATCAGCACATTGTACGGTCTTATTAGAATCCCTCACATTCAGTAAGAAATCGTTCATATACATTATAAACAAGACGGGGCCTAGCATGGATCCTTGCGGAATTCTCAACCGCACTGCTGCCGTCGATATCCGATCACCTTTCTATTTCACAAGTTGGTGTCTTATAAATCAGATTCTATAAGTTGAATTGGAGTACAATCGACGTACCTGATTTTGGAAACCCGCATATCCAAACATCTTGGTCCCTTACTGGAAAATTATAGAGCTCATCTAAATGGTCTATATATCCCTTGTGAAGTACATGCCCTTTCTTAGTTACACATTCAGAGGATTCTGCCATTTTTCCGGGAATATACTCAACAGCGCTCCCTTACACGAGCTTAAGCTAGCTTGTTAGTTTTATATCACAAAACTTGCTTGCTCACTGCTTGCGACAGCTTCGCTAATAGAACTAATATTCCAGTAGCCTACATGAAAGACAGATGTCTAGATAACAAGCTTTGAAACCTTATCTCCACAAAGCTAAACAATTGCATGTTAATAAAAAGAAAGCGAGGATATTGGAAAAATACGAGGGTCATTGTTGAAAAGCTTATTGCGTATCGAGCTCACGAATCATGTCACGTGATATCTGTTCAACCTCAGACACTCTAGGCAACACCCGCATTACGCCTCCGTTGAGTTTCACGTGTAAGTCGGAAAAGTTTGTGCGGTTGTTCTGCTTTGCTTGTCGTCATGTCAATCAGAAGTCCGTTGATTGTGACGTGCGCTCAGTAATTCGCTAAAAAGTTGCTCCTGCTGAAAATCACCAGACGCGCTATCTAAAACCGCCTCTAACGGCGTTTATCCGACTTTATTGTGAAAAAAAATATTTTTAATTACAAAGAGCTTATATTACAGTAGTCGATGGTCAAACAATCAATCGTAACTAATGTCCTCAAAATAAAATTATAAGAAAATTTATGTTATGAACAGAATAATTCAATACAGTGTTAAAAAGCGTGTTTTTTACTTTCTTTAAACTATTACTTATTTTTCATTTTTCAGTTCGATTCATCAATTAGTTTTTTGTGGACGTGTGTTATTGAAATGTCTTACGAATCATTTCGTAATCTAATCATTTCATTTAAAGCTTATCTGTTGCGTAAGGTTCTTCCTGTTAACTTAGAGCAATCTAGTTCTTCAATCCGAACACCGTCTTAAGATCTTACACGACTAAGTGCATTCGCAATGAACAAGGCGAGAATGCACTACCTTGAATCAACGAAGAGTGAGTCCGACACTGCACGCATGCGCAGATCGCGCGTTAGCTCTATCTCTCTTACTCTCACACAGAGGATCTATAAAAGAATTTATCAACCCTCCAGGTAGAGGAGACCCGCGCAAAGAGAATGTTTCCCATCGCATCCAAACCATGAGTCTCATGAGCAAGGTACGCGTATGTGTTCCTTCATGTTTCATCAATAATTCTTACCTCTGCTGAGCGGAGTCGTGGCAAATGCTTGTTCCGGAGGTTGTTGCACTCAGTATTCAACGTCTCTCCGCTCAAGTGATTATACAGGCGTTAAGTGATGCCCCAGTATCGATTGCCTGGTAGCGTTGCAAGTCCATCAACGTGCCACTTTAGGTCTACTTAGCATCATTGACAAGCAACAAAAAATGGTAGAAAGGGACAAGCCGACCGAGGTGATACCACCCGCTAGCTTTTTACAGAATTTCAGCATGTTACCACACCTGAGCTACGCAGTCTATCGTCTTCCCTTTCTATTTAAAACAGTGAAATTAATGCTGGATCTTTCTAGTACGAAGAATTTAAGACGTAGGCTCACACTCTATTCTCGAAATGTCCAGGTGGAGGGTGGACTCGAGGCAGCAACGTCTGCTTCACGCACATCTGCGGCACCCACATTGATGCTGTTCACCACTGCAGTCTATCGTCCCGTCATGCTGTTCTTTCGAAGAAAAAAATCTCCTAACCACCTTAGCTGTCCAAATTACGAGATGCACCCAATCTGAGCAAGAACGGGGAGTTAGGACTTTTGTCCGCAGAAGTCTTTTCGTGTCTTTGGAGTCAGAGCGGAAGGACATTCTGTGGCTTCGCCTGAGCTCCAAACCACCCCCAAATTCATTTGCTACCTTTATCGCTCTCCCTCTCACCGTTAACTGGGCTGACATAATTGAATATCTCGATGTCAAAATCGTCTTTCTAAACATCAATCGTTCTGCTTCAGAGATAGTTCTCCTTGATGATTTCAATGCCCATAATGAGCTCTGGTTGGGCTCGAACAAAACCAATGCAGCAGGTCGTGCGGTTGAAGTGTTCACTATGTTTATAGGCTGACCCAGATGGTGACGAGTCCTACTCTTTCACCGTGTTTCGTCACACCCAGTAGACTGTTGGATCTCCTTCTGACTACGCATCTTGTCCCTTGCAGCACTGACGTCCTGTCTTCCCTGGATAACTCAGACTACGGTGTTGGGGAGGTCAGGTTACGGTCAAAAGCGGCTGTGGCAGCAGAAACTGGCGAGGGCTCAGATACTTTTTCTTCACCTTTTTTGGTGGAATTTGTGTTGTGAAACCTTGGAACACTGGATCCAAATCGGGCGGCATTTGTTTTTCCTCGCAAGGTCATCCACATGTTATTTCAGGGTCAAAGATTGTAAAAGTGTTCAGATGTATTTTAAAACCTCTACACACAAGTTTCCTGGGTCTCTGAATACAAATCTGGAGTTTGGACTTCCCTTTCCCGTGTATCCCCCTATAACCCCACGGTACCCCGTGGATGTTTAGGCCTTGGGCCTTCGTGGTAGCTGAAGTGTTAAAAAAAACAGGCAAGGTCACCCAAAGATTAGTTCGAGGTCAAATTGAGATTATTTTCAAACTACACGGTGTAAACGTTATGATAGTCATTATTTAAATGGGTGATAGTGGGGATTAAAAGAAGCAGAAAGTTTAGTCGATAGTCCTACGCGGCGGCCTAATTCCCGAGTGCTGATATCTGCATTGATTTCAACGATATTTAAAATTTGTTCCTCCTGCTCTACAGTAACCTATCTTTCACGATTGTGAATATTAGTGCGATGAACGCTTCCTGTATCTCGAAGTCTTTGGTACACCTGCACAAATGTGCTTCTGTCGTAAATTAATAACATGTCGGCGATCTCGTCATTTGAGAACATTGTAAATAAACACGACGACGTACGCGAACAATAACTAACCACTGTTACCGTTTGCGATCGATTGCCGGTTCGATAAGGGTGATGAAAGGTCGACGCGCTGTTGTCATGTGTGTTTTAAATATTTGATTTAATAAAACTTACTTACTGACTACAAAGTTTGGCTTAACTTAGAAAAACTTCACGCAATTTATTTGTTAATTACCCAGTTTAAAAACGTTTTAGATTAGATTATAAAAATTAGTAAGATTGTGGTCGATATAAAGTTGTAAAGTATAAAGCCATTTAGACAAAAATCTATTGACTTTTGGACCATGGGTCATATGAGCTTTTTGACCCGCCCTTATTACCCATTTCAATAATGAATAACAAAAGCGACATACTGGATTTTCATTCAATCCATTTTCAAAAGCCCCTAGTTTCCAACGGGCTACGCCAATGCGTTTTATGTAATTGCTACTGGAAATTAACAGGAGCCCTATACAATTAACAATATAATTATGTTAACCTTACTACCCGTTATCACACAGAGAGACAAATAAGAATAATGTATTTGTTTTATTCGTTAGTCTTTGCACTCGTCGTCGCTCAAATAAAAAATGTGACAAACATTTGAAACAATAGCTGTTGGTCGTAATGGTGACCTTAGGGAGAGTTAGAAAAGTTCATTGTAGTACAGGGTGGTTCATATAATGAATTCATAGAAGGGAACCTTAGACTAAGCTCGCAAAAATAATGTCCCGTCAAACGTACCTGAAAGTACGTTTCCAATATAAAAAGTTGCAGACACATCAGCCGCAACATATTCTGCAGAAACAGACATTTAACTAGTAACTCAAAACAGGAGAAGAGCAATAGATACTGATCAGGCGCATTTGAAACAGTATTTAGGGCCATATTGTTGAGTAAATTGGAAACATGGAAAAGTATTAAAATTGTTTTCCGATTATCTATTCAACGGGATCCCAGTAACTAATAAGAATAACGTTTTTTCATCAAATGTGGAAAATCATTCAAGAGTCCCCCAAGGTTCTATCCTGGGACCACTTCTCTTTAGCATGTATATAAAAAATGATTTGTCCACTAAAAAATACAAAATTTTGCTGGTGATACTTAAATTTGTGTAAATTAACTGTTATTTAAAACTGGTATCAGGATGGCAAGTACCTAACAAATTTAAATTGAACATGTACAAAACAAAATCTATGATTATTAAAAAAAATTATATTTAAATTAATACGTGAATATTAATGGCGAAAATATTGATTATGTAGATTCTTCTAATTACCTTGGCATAGTTGTTAAGCTGACTTTTGAAGTCAGCAGTAAAGTACATTATCACATATTTTTGAGTTTGACCCTATATAATCATTTATAGTACAGTTGTTGATAATGTCGAGATTTGAAATGTTTTAAATCCAAAGCAAGTTTTAAGTGTTATTTTATAGCCCGTACGACACGGAACAACAGAACATGAAAGGAGAACTATATTTAGCAGATGAAAGCGCTATCTAGCGTGAGGTGATAGTGAAAAGTCTCTCCCAGATTTTGCGAATGAAAAATATCGATTGCGAAACTCAAGCAGCCCCCCTCCTCCAGAAGTTTTCGTTCTGTCTATCTGCACCACCCAATAGCTATCGGTACCATTATCCGTTGTTCCAGATGTACAGAAACCACAACAGCAAGACACGTTCAGTCGAGCAATCACCACATATTTTGTTTTTCAAATCCTTGTTGTATTTATTATCATTTTCTTACATTTCATACTCTATTTTGCCTCACCCTGTAGTTCTTTTTAATGCTGGTGCCGCAATCAGCGAATAAAATAAATACAAAGTAAAATATCTGTAAATAGTACAAAAATTTTCCGACATACACATCTGAAGTGTACACAGTGCAAGTGTTATATAAGATAGTAGCTACACTATCGAAGGTGAAATATCTAACACAGACGGAGATTACTGCAGCGGTAACGAGATGTCGAGAGAAGCAGAGTACGTGACGCATCGGGGAGTTACCCTCATGAAGCAATTCGTTAAGTATCAGGACAAAATGGACAACATGCCCGTCAGAGATGAAGATGTATGGGTCACTGGGATCCCCAAGTCAGGTAGGTTGCGTAACGGAGAAACAAATGAAGACCAAACTTTAGAAAGCTATTTCTGTATCAAGTAATTGCTTCATGTTTGTCTAAATAAATTGTTATGAGTAATAGCTAGTTACTTTCGGTGTTTCTCAGAATGCTGTTCAAATATGGTGAAACGCTGTTTTGAGCTCTTATTTTTCAAAGTAATCTTTCAATGTAAAAGATTTGAGTCAAGGAACTAATAAAACAGCTAGTGCAAATATCTGCTAAATATTGATCTATATTTACTGTAAAAATAAGCGATTGTCTTTATCAAGCAGAAATTGAGGGTGCTTTCTAATTTAGAGAATCTTGCTCACAATGCAGAACTGGAAAATACCATATTTGACAGCTTTGTTGTGTTCCTTAATAATGTATTCAGTGATGCCAGCTCGGTCCCAATAAATCTAGTCGCACTTTCGAACGAAACATTTTGTTTGTAAAAAAGCTCATGTTGAATAACAAGGAAAACTGTTTTACTACATATTCCACCGCTATTTCCAGGAAAACTGCAAGCAATTAGCCATTACATGTCTTGTGCATTTTGATTTATCCTAATTTTCCATATACAGTGCATCTCAAGGAATGTTGCAATATTTCTAGGTTAATAACTAACTATTGCTATAAGACACAAAAGGTTTCGTATACACCGGCTATGATGCCAGTACTATTATAGCCTTAAGTCAATATCTTGATCCATTCCGTAGATATAGATTTTTCCGACTTCAAAATTATAACCTCCATACCCTATATATTGGTGAAAGAAAATATCAGGATCCATGTTTATATGAACTTTACGTGATACTTTTCGCCGTAGAAATATTCTCACGTTTTTCGGAAACACGATGTATATTTCGTTCTTTAATTTTCTGTCACCTGGTAGCATTGACTCCATCATCACAGACATGTTATCAAGAAAGATCGCAGTGATTCCCTAAGAAGTAATAAAACACAACTCATTTTCGTTTAAAATAAAGTTATTTATTTTTAAACATGAACTCAACCTTTCAAGGAAGGGTGGCCCTCAACCTTCCTCGTAATTACTTTTAAGATTTCGTATTCTAAGAATGTTGAAAATGGCGGAAAAGACGGCGTCAAGTGTGCATTTCATACAGGATTAAGTTCAGCGATTAAATTCAGGCGAATTTAAATCCTCTGAGAAAAATGTCAGCTACGAACATCAACAAGAGAAAAACTAAGCTGTATGAGTCTCTCCACTCCCTACCAAAAAGCTACTGTCTATCTGGCAACCAAGTATGGGCGATTATTATTTTTTTTTGTTTTTGGCTTTTTTATCCGCCGCCTATGAACCGATTCAAAACTACAAAGTTCCTGGCATAGTAGCAGCCTCGTGTGGAAATTTCAGAGACACATTTTTGATGATTGCAATACTTCGTGGTGCAAAAACTTCCATAACCTGCGATAATATTTTGCGAGGTGACACCTGAAGACGGTGGACGAGACGTAAGCGTATGTGGTTGGCACGGCTTTCAAGTGGAATCAACGAATTCGAGTGGATTTGAAGAAGCGAAGCCTATGGTTTGAATTGCGCATTTTAGTGCATGCTTTTGACTCATCTGACTATCATGTCTACTAATAGTCTAACACGACATTTATCTGCAAATACTCGCACTGTAAAAAATAACACTAAAAATATGATTTGGATGACAGAACTGTCAAAAAGTTATGTCAAGTCCACTTGTAGTAAGCACTTTCATGTTGACTGTAGACTAAGATTTTAGAGACAAACAAGCTTGCTCCTTCAACCTTCAATCTAGTCTGAATTCGTTGATTGGAATTGATATTATGACTAGTACAGAGTTTTACCACTTGCCATATCGGATTTATTTTAAAACCCGACACATGTTTCGCGGTGTCAGCCACTTCAGGGAAAGATTAAAGCTTCACCTTGTGGTGGAATATGAAACTCAAGCTACTGAGCTTCTTAGATCCTTAATTTGTATTTGTCATGCAGGAACAAGGTGGGCTTCTGAGCTGGTGTGGATGATAGTGCATGATCTGGACTTCGAGGGAGCCAAAGAGGACCTAACCATCAGGGTACCCTTCACAGAGTAAGTCACCAAGTCAGAGCAAAAGTTAGGACTCAGTGTGAGATGGGTCAGTGACGTGGCAAGCGGTAAGCTGTAATAAAGTGGAAAATTTGAATTAAATGGACATCAATCCGACAACCATGGACAGATGTTTTGTGCCACTTTTCCTCGCAAGGTCAGGTTATTTCAGGGTCAAAGTTTGTAAAAGTGTTCAGATGTATTTCAAAACATCTACACATAGGTTTCTTTTGCCTCTGAATACAAATCTGGAGTTTGATAGACATTATTTCAAAATAAATACAAACCATCAATGTGTCAATTTTCGGAAAATTTTGTCTGCGCGTACAAATCCAACGTCCATGGTTATTTTTTCATTAAAACGAAAAAACCATAACTTACGTTGATTAGTAGTTTTTTATAAATATTCAACTTGACATCAGTCACCGAATGACGTACGGATGACGTTTCTTTGTTTACAATTTATGTGACGTCACATCATGGCCGATAGCATTTTCACCGCTTAAAATTGAAAATAAAATATTTTTTTTTAATTGGACATACATCTACCACTTTTAAAAGTTGAAATTGATATATAATATCGTTTTGCTAGGCCAAATACTGTAACAAATTCGTGTTTTGCTCACTGAAGGAAGCAGATGGAATGGTACTTAATACAAGCTCCTTGACTGACTCAGAAACCAACATCTCAATATAGAACTTGCGGTCGCTCTCGGTACTGAGGAGCCTTAAAGTAGATAAATTCTAGATTTCCTATTTTGACTCCGCTATCACTATGCCACGTCACCACGAATTTCAACGTTCGCGTTTAGCTTTTTGAAAATACAAGATTTTCACTTTTAAGGTTGTTCCGACTATTAGATAATCCAAACCATGAGGATCTACGATTCAGAGACACCATTCAGTATGTTGTACAAAAATACGATAAAGGACCAGCAACTGTGAAATGTCACATGCCGTGGGTCCTGCTGCCCAAGCAAATGAGGGACTTTGAAAAGAGGCCAAAGGTGAGGAACTCGTTAGGTGTCAGTTTCTCATTTTATATATTTATTTAACAAATTCGGGTCGTCAAACAGAGATAATCTACAGCATCGTTAAGCATACTACCAGGTCTGTAAACTAAGTGATGCGAATGATTTTTTTTTAAATTTTTATTCATCTATTATTACAATTGTATATTCATCCTCAAAATGTCTTCCTTCTGAAGCCACTCAGCGCTGGAGTAGGTTTTTCCACTTGTCATAACAGTGATGGAGCTCCGATACCGGAATAGCCTTCAGCTGGTCGGTTACAGCCAATGTTTTCGACTGTTCCCTTGAGGTGACTTTCCAACTTCAGGAAGAGAAAAAAGTCACAAGGGCTCTAGTCGGGCGAGTAAGGAGGCTGATGAACCACATGAATTATTGTACTGGCCAAAAATTCGTTTACTGACATTGCTGTATGACGAGGAGCATTATCAGTTTCTGTTTTTTTTTATCAAGTATTCAAGCTTTAACAATTCACACGCAAAAATTTCAGCAAATTTATCACGGTTGCTTAGATTACCTTGCATTCGTACCAGTTGTGGTACCAATATTAGGTCTACAAAACGGAATATTGAAGTATGTACAAGTCTCTAGGATGATTCTCTCTTATCGTTACATTTATATTGATGTCCGATAAAAGGTAGAAGCAGTCGATTTGATTGTTAACTTGCCTGATAAGCCAGAATTCGCAAGAACTTGTATTCTTGTATGGTCTTCGTAGTGTGGGTTCTAGATAATAGACGCGAGAGGTTATTTTGTAAAGTCAATCATTATTCATTTTATTTATGGTTCCATTTATATAGTTATTAAAGGATCATTTCGGATCCAGTATAACACCCAGGTCCAGAATACTGCTCACATAATTATTATTGGCATTATCGTTATAGGTCTCTTTTTTCGCGGATGTGATTGAGAATCATTCTTTACTGTTAAGTGACAGGTCACTTCTCTGACAATAATCGTTGAGTTTTTCGGGCTCTTAACATCGGGAACCGACTAGTACGGTCACTTCTTGGTTCACGTCCAAAATGTAGACTGATGTACGAAGAGTTGAAAAAGACCGATTGATCTTGGGAGAACGTTTGAATATTATACAGGGTGGTTGAAAAAAGGCAATATTTCCAGAGCAAAGAGTATACCCTAAAATGCCAGAAAGGTTCTTATAGAAAAATGTTCTCAAATGTATCATTACCATGATGAAATGGGTTTTTACGCCACTGATGATACCGTATAAGGACAAAACATAAATATTTCCCAAAGAACGCTCATAGTGAAAGAGAGAGTTACTCTTCACCTATGCAACATACGACGTTCAAAGCATACTTCACTCAGATGTTTCAGAAAAGTTATATATATATACAGGGTAGCGCATCGAAAACGAAAAGGTCGCATTTACTGGCAGCTCAGTTTTTTTTTTTAAAAAACGCTGAGACCCGTCGATTTTGTTTTTGACGGGGACAAAAGTTTGGCTGCTGTGTATGAACCTCATGATAAATTCTGGGATTAGAATCGGACCAATATCGGCAGTTATGACGATTTACTACGCCATTTAAGAAAAAGGAACATTCGTCGGAAAAGCAAGTGTTGAATAGAAAATGTTCATCGTTTATAATTCGTTCACTCATATCTTTACAAAATTGTAATCGCCGATCAAAATCGTCTTCATTAAGTTCTTGTACCAGGTGAGTTTTATACGGATGAAAACTATGGGTCTTTAGAATCCGTTGGACAGTACGTCGACTAACACCACACACAGTCTCCAATTTTCGGGTACTTAACGTAGGATCTACATAAACTTGCCCTAAAACCCTCACTTCTATTGCTTCGTTCCTTATGGGATTTTCAGTGTTGTGTTTTTTATTGGCGACTGTCCCAGTTTCCCGAAATTTAGCTAGAAGTTCTAGAACATACTTTCGATGCACGTTACTGTTCCCATATCGCTTATTAAATATTTCTGCTGTTCTATTAGCGCACTGATTATTTCCGAAAAATATTTCGATAATTTCAACTCTTTCTGCAGTGGAATATACCATGGTTAATTTATGTAATAAAGCGTTACAACTTATTTTAGCAACAAAGTTTGGTCAAATGAACCGCAAGCTGTGTACATTCAAAATAAGTATGAGATATTTCCTTATCTTTCTTCAAGAAATAACTTTTTTTCCACAAAAAAGCGCTCCAATAGCTATTTTCAACAACAAAATGATGAACAAACGATGGGCGTAGTGAAGAAAAGCATTTACTTATTAAGTAAATTCTTTTAGACAAATTTATTCTGAAAGTAGTACAAACTAATCTGCTGTACTTATTAAAGTCTACTTTAAGCTTTCATTAATAAATCTTCAAAACTACTGAACTGAAGCTCATGTATTTTGCATCATTATAAAGGGAATTGAAAGGCCTTGAAAATAAGGTATCACTCGACCCCCCTTTCCATTTAAGATTTTAGGGTTGGTGTTACCCCCGCCCAGGGGGCTGCACGTATTGACGTGATTTTTTGCCAAACCTGTGTCCCTCTCGAAAACAAAATCGACGGGTCTGAGCGTTTTTCCAAACAAAAACTGAGCTGCCAATAAATGCGTCTGTTTCGTTTTCGATGCGCCACCCTGTATATATATAATATTTTTTTTGTAGGGTCCAAATTTACATAATTGCTACGATACTTCTCTAGTTTCAGACACAGAAATATATCAACAAAATTTGAAGTCGTTCCCTTATTGAAATTCAACATTTTGTATCATGGGGTGGGGGCACTTCAATGTTCGCGTTAATATTGACTTTCCGTAGTATTTTCTGGTGTATATTCTGACATAGAAATATTACCAATAGCTAAGTTTCAGTCTGTCTTCAATTTTAAATATTAACATGTTATTTTACATATAATTTTTAAGTATAATATATGAATTTCAACAGAACAAAATTCAGGAAACAAACATAATTTACTCGTCGCTGTTTTTAAAAGGCTTGAAAATTGTTTGAACTGCATTCCTATTTCGTTGATACTCAAGCAGCATCTGTGCATCAAGAATTTTCAATTTGTATGTAAGGAGAATTTTTTTAAAAGTTTTATGTAAATGCCTCAGAATTACAGCGAGTAAATCTACGACACTATTTTTACAAGATGTACGATACTCTTGCAGATCATTTATGTGATAAGAAACCCTAAAGGAGTGATCACGTCATCGTATCATTTCGAAAAACTGCTGCATGGATACGATTTTTCGCTAGAAGAATATGCAAACATTTTCATGGACGGAAAAGGTAAGTTATAGAATCTAGAAAACTTGTATTCCTAGCTCGTTTGTAGACATTTTAAAATTGACTTGACATTGATTTGACCGACAAGGTCATAGTAAAGATCAGTTTAAAGGTAATCAGTGAACAGCCAGACATACATTGAAGCCTTCAGCCTTTGGATCTTCAGAGGCATCCCAGAAATCTTTTCAAATGATGACTTTGTAAACGACGTGTAATGTTAAAATAAAGCCATGATTGAACGTATCCGTTTCCGAAGTCGAAAGTACTCTGTTTTAGTTAAAAAATCATCTTGACCTTGATTTAGCATTCAAGGACAAATTCAAGGTCACCACTAAACTGCTAGGGAAAATCCTTGACCTTTCTTATTTTCCTTCCCGGAGCTTTATAAAAATTTAAGTGGAAAAAATACTTTTTCAGAAAACTACCATCCCTACTGGCAACACGTCCTCCAATTCTGGGAAAAACGGCAAGAACCTAACGTGTTCATCCTGAGGTACGAAGAAATGCTGAAAGACCCACCAGGCATGATCAGAAGAATAGTAAATTTCTTGGGCAAGAAGTTCACAGACCAACAGATAACCCAGCTGGTAGATCACGTTAGTTTTGAGAACATGAAGAAAAACAAAGCTGTTAATCACGAGGATGGTATTAGAGAGCTAAGACAGCGAAAAGGGCTGCCTGAGGCTCAGCACAACCACATGAGGTCGGGCAAGGCGGACGGTTTCAAGGCAGAGATGTCGCCAGAGTTGATCAAGAAGGTCGATAAATGGATTGAAGAGAATACGAAAAATACTGATTTTAAAGTGATGGAGCCTTGAAGTGTAATACGGAATACTGATCGAGCTCTAAGTGTGTAATTACTTTTAAGTCCAGAAAATAAAGACTGATCTCTTATTATTTGTACTATCATTCACAGCCTGTGTTTTTTATAAATATTTTGTTGATATAGGTGAGCAAATAACAAGTCAGATTGATCAAAACTCAATCCTCGATACATCAGATCTTCATGTCGTCAACATTGCTTACTCTATGTTTCTAACTCCAGTGGATAACATAGAGTTACAGCAAATATTTTGTAATCTGAAAAATAATAGTGCACCCGGAAAAGATGGCTTACACACTAAAACTATCAAGATGATCATGAAGTATATCAGTCACCCTATAACTCACATTATCAACCTCTGTTTCAAATCCTCAGTAATTCCTCGCCAATTTAAAGAAAGCATAGTGACACCAATATTTAAATCTGAAAGTAAAGACAATATGTTCGATTATAGACCTATAATAGTCAACGCCAAACAAAGTGGCGTGCACGTCATCACGATAAAAATTCCCCGACCTAATGCCTAGGTTTCTATCACAAACAATTGCTCTATTGCAGTTTCATATTAATGTGATATATAAATTGTAAAATGGTCATTACTCTCTTATTATGGTTAATAGTCATATAAACATTGTTATTAAAATATCACATAAGTTGCTTTCTGATAAATTTAGACGCATTATGCGAAATAAAATGTTTTGCAAACGCTCCAATCACTTATCGACATGTAAACGCACTAAACCGATTTCGCAGCGTTGACACATTGTCACCTTGAAACTTATTTAAACTGGGAACTGACATTTGTATTAATTTTGACACTGAATCAATTTGTGGCATTTCAAATCTTTATAAATCCTTTGGCCCCGCATACTGTAAATCAACAACTGTTTGTTTCAAAACAAAATTATTCATTTTACGAGTAGATAAAGGCAATTTTGGTATATAAAGATGCCCAAACAGTTAAATAGTCGGTGTAAGGAACTCGTGGCCTCGTTAATGCACTACTTTGAGCAAGAAAGGGACAACAACGGGCCTTTGTTGCCTTTAAATGCTGTTCAAGAGGTAGGTTACTAATAATTATATGTAATGTATATTAATAATAGTGAAATTTTATTTCATTTTTTGTAGCGTGTTGCTGCTGCTTTAAAAATTAGTTTAAGGACAGTTAGTCGTATTTCCGAGGGTGTGAAAAGTGATGCAAATTTAGAATCGCCCAAGAAAAAGCGGAGTTATATTAAACGTGTAACCAACACAGCGACATTGGATACAAGTGCCATTCGAGAAGTGATCTATAATATGTATCACAAAAGGAAGATCTTATTATAATAACTTATCAGAAATTTGCATTAATTTGTTAACTAAATTATAATGTCATATTACACATGGTTTCAGAAGAACAAGTTACGATACAAACTTTATGGTCTCGATTAAGAGATAGGGCATTATTTGATGGTAGTGCCACGTCTTTAAGGCGGTTGCTTAGAGATCTTGGATTTAAGTGGCTTAAGGACAATCCGCGACGAGGGCTCATGGAACTACCAAGTATAGCTTTGAAAAGGGTGGAATTTCTAAGGCAATACAATCAAGCCAAGGTTGAGGCCTTATACCAGTTTGTCTTCCTCGATGAAACTTGGATATTTCAAAATGGGACCATAGGTCGCTCTTGGCAAAATGGAAACCTAAAAAGCGTGAAAGCTATTAAAACAGATGGTAAAAGGTATGTACTTTTACACAATTTGCACTATAAAATTTAAAACTAATATATTTTAGATACATTATATTACATGCTGGAAATGAAAATGGGTTTATTGAGGGTAGTGAAGCGATATTTTCTTCGAAAACAAAATTGAGCGATTACCATGGAGAGATGAACCAGGACAATTTTTTGAAATGGTTTCAACATCAGTTATTAGAAAAATTGGAGAGTCCATCTATGATTATACTGGATAACGCCCCTTATCACAGCATGATATTGAACAAAGTGCCCAACAATGCATGGACAAAAAAGAATATCCAAGACTGGTTGACAAATCAAAACATACCATTTTTAAACACAATGTTTAAAACAGAGCTATTGAGTATTGTTGCTCGGTACATAATGCTTCTTAATTATATATATTTTGGTCGACAGTTTATATTTCTTTTGTTTATTCCTATTCTTAAAATAACTGCTTTTTTAGAAACAAACCACCTAAAATATACGTGATTGATGAATTGGCGGAACAACATGGGCACAAAGTTCTTCGTCTGCCTCCTTACCATTGTATATTTAACCCTATTGAGTTAATTTGGGGCATAGCAAAAGGTTACTATAACAGACATATTGGTAGAGATGGTAACAGTGAAAAAGACTGTTTGGATATGTGGAACGAGGCTCTACAAACGGTTACCCCAGACATGTGGAAAAATAGTGTTCGACATACTGAGCAAGAAATTTTTAAATGGTATGAAAGAGAACGAATTTTTGATCGACCAGACATCGAACCTTTAATAATCAATTTTGAGAGCGATGAAGATTCAGATTCAGACACCGCTGAAGAAAGAAACTCCGACTAACTTTATTGTACAGAAAAAGCTTATACCAGTAGCTTACCTAATTTTAGAATGCATTTTTCTGTATGAATTCTGTAAAATAAATACCATGCATAAAATTTGGAGGACCCCATTTGGATTTTTATTCAGTAGCTTTAAGCTATCAATTAAATATGGTAGTTTCATAGTGTCATCTGATCAATAATTGTCATACTTAATGATTATGCAAGTACAGATCTATAATTTTATTATACTATTATTTTTGTTCTCATTTGAAGTTAATATTGCTTATAAACCTAGATATGTAAATAATAAATTTTATTATTTTACAAAAAGTTTGGCAACAATGTAAATTTTTCAACACACCCACCTTGATGACGTGCACGCCACTTTGTTTGGCGTTGACTATATTGCAGTTATCACTGTATTTGGGAAGATTTTTGAGAAGTGTTTGAATAACAGACTTTGTTCTTTTCTTGAGAAGTATGACATAATATCGAACTGTCAATTTTTGTTCCGCAAAAATTGCAATACAGAGCAATCTCTACAAGAACTTACAGGACAAGTGCTTGAAAATTTTCAAGATGGAAATAAGACTGTTGCCGTTTTCCTAGATCTTCAAAAGGCTTTCGATTCAGTATCTCATACAATTTTATTAAAGAAACTAGAAAGTGTTGGAGTGCGTAGTGGAGTCCTGGACTTATTGGAGAACTATTTGGCTGATCGATTACAACAAGTTACGGTAGGGTCAGATTTAAGCAGCATTCGAAAGATCAAAATAGGTGTGCCTCAGGGGACGGTTTTGGGACCAACACTGTTCCCCATAGACATAAATGAACTACTTTGATGCAATTTCAACTGTAAAATGATATCATATGCAGACGATACTGTTTTAGTTTGCACTGGTCGTTCATGGGATGAAGCAATACGGAATGCCGAGTTGTCATTAAATAAAGTCAAATGCTGGTTGGATAACAATTTACTTAAACTTAATATCTCTAAAACTAAGTATGTAACGTTTTCTCCAACCAAAGCAGGCATGCCATTACACCACCGAACATTAATTATAAATGATAGTGCTGACACTGTTGAAAGGGTTGCAGTTATTAGATACTTAGGAATCACTGTTGACCGTAATTTAAAATGGCAGAGCCATGCCGAGCTTTTGGCATCGAAATTAAGGAGAATTATTAATAAGTTTTTCATCTTAGGAATATTTTAAGCAGAAAGAGTCTTCTCTCAATATATAACTCGTTTGTGTGGGGAGCCGCATACACTAGTACTTTGAAAATACTACAAACCACGCAAAATTATATTGTCAGGACTATTTTTCGTATCCCATCTAGGTCAAGTTGCAGATTTGTTTAGATTGAAAATGATCTTTTGAATGTTAGAGGTTTATATATTTTTGCTGCTCTGAAATTTGTTCACTTCAGAAAAAATGTTACACTTATACGGGAGTGAATAAATCTGTTTGCCAAAAATGCATAAAGTTTGATGGTATTAGGTTGTATAATAAATTACCCCTAGAATATAAAATCCTCTGGAAGAATAGTTTCAAAAAAGAATTAAGAAGTTCATCTTAAATAACTTTGACATGCTTGCATCGACTGTAGCTTGATTCAACTCATTCATTTCGTTTCTATCTAATGTTTTCCATTTCTTTTTTTATATACAGGGTGGCCAAACACGTGACGTCATAAAAAAAAATTAGATTCCCCACATCGAGAGGAACCCAAATCACCCCCATATATATGGTCCGATTTTGTTTAGTTTAGGAGTTATGATTTTTTTTCGGATTTTTCGAGAATTTTTGAGTTCTGTGTTTATTTTTACCATAACTTCGTTAATAATTGTGATAAATGCCTGCTTTTTTCACGATTATGTAGCTAAGACCTAAGGCTTAACTATCATATAATCATTCAAGTCATGTAACTAATACTACTTTTTAATTTTTTTCAAAATCTTCGAACATAACAAAAAAGTAAAAAAGTGCAACAACTTTGAACGTTTATAAAAAATTGAAAAAACATGTTCTTACTATTCGTAAGTATCTTAAAAACTTCCTTACGGTATCAGCTATTTACCGTAAAAATTTCATCAACCTAGCTTTACTACATGCTACCGTAATTGTGGCTCAAATAGAACCGAACCCAAAATTGGATAACCCTCTGCTCAATAGAAATTGTTAGTTTCGGAAAAAAAGTTTGCAAAAACCACAAAAACACGTTTGATTTTTACTGAACAGCAGATTATTATTCATTTATGTTATTTACAAGAGGTTTTCAAAATGTCTGCCTCTAACAGAAATGCACAGTGTACACCTACGTATGAAATTTTGTTTTAAATCTCTAAATGCTTGTGTGTTGTTTTTCAACACATGTATCGCTTCTTGAATTTTGTTCCTCAATGAATTTTCATTTGCACATTCTTGGGCGAATGTTATGTCTTTAAAATATCCCCAAACAAAAAAATCAATGGGGTTGAGGTCAGGGGAGCGTAGAGGCCATCGTATCGGTCCGTTTCGTCCGATCCATCTGTC